TACTAGAATTGTAATCCAAGGTAATATATCATACAGTTTTATGTGGAAGTTTAAAAGTTATTTGAGTGAGCAGAAGAAGATTTCTGAGATGGAGAAGGTGTGTTTTTTATGTACTAGCCTTACTGTTAAAGTGAACCTGAACTGTGGAAGCTGAGGAAATAAGCAAGCAGAGGGCAAAGGACTGGTCACCAGTATCGCCTGTAGGCTCTCTGAAAATGTTTTTCCCCAGTACTGACTTTGCCTTGTTCTACCCAGTGTAGAGGCGGCCATCTTGGTGGAGGCAGAGCTTCCTCTTGTCAGAGCTGTCTCTTATAGCTGATGGGGGAAATATTTAAAATGCAGCATGGTGCAGAAAGCATAGGTCCATAGAAGTCACTAAGCAGAAGGAGGGAGATCCTTGCACTGCAGGTCCTCAGGTTCAGCTTCCAATCCAGCAAGGAGAACAGTGAGCAGCACAGTAGATGACATCACCAAATCCTACTCCAAATCTTCTGAGGCCAGCATTTAGAGGCCACAGTGCCTTAGATGACCTCACATTGCAGATATACAGATATGAGGCTACAGGACAGGAAGTGCACTGCTTTTTTAGAAGTAGAGCAAGACGAGAAGAACATCTTTTAGGGTACTGCTTAGGCACAATTAGCATTACTAGATGTCCCCTATAAGGTGGCAAATCTGTGGACTCATTACCAAATATTAAACCTTTTATCTACAAGCCCCTTAAAGAGAACATATCAGCCATTTTACATGTTTAAATATACTTGCCTTGCAGAAATAACCACAAGGGCCTGTTGGCCAGAAAAGGCTCTTTTGTGCACCCATCTAATGCTGGTCCGCTGTTACTATATTCTAGAGTTTTCCAGCTTTTGGTCAAAGCCTCTACCCTCAAAGAGTTAAAGTAGATATGAAGTAAAGATTTACTTTAATTATAGGGAACATCTGGAAATGTTGTTTCTACGCAGTTCCCTGGTGACTTGCCCCCCTGCTTGTCATCTTCCACAGTACAGGTCCTCTTTAAGCTTCAACTGCCTACAGCAGCGGTTCTCAACCTGTTGGTCGCGACCCCGTCGGGGGTTGAATGACGATTTGCCAGGGGTCGCCTGGGAGTCTCCCACTATTAGCAGCTCCTGGCCGCCCGGGAGAGAAACACTTTCTCCCGGAAAGGTTTACTCTGCTCGATCGAGCAGAATAAACCTTTCCCGGCAATCGTTTTTTTCCCCTGACATCGGGAGCCGCCGGCTGCCGTAAGTTAGAAGAAAAAAAAACACCATACGAATGCATAGCTAGATTCCTATTGGCTATTTCACTTTGCAATAGCAAACTAGCTATTGCACCCGCCCTCTGCTGCTGCCAATCAGCAAAGGGGGACCTGAAGTTCTCCATCAGGTCCTCTTCTAGTGATTTTTTTTATGGTGTGTTTTTTATCTTATTTTTTTTTTATCCTGACAGCGTACGCCAGTGGTTCTCAACCTGCGGGTCGCTGTGTGATTTCTGCTGTGCTAGGTGAGAGTCCTCCTCAGCCCTCTCCTAGCGCAGCAGAGTCAGTTCTCCCGCCACGCCGCCAGATGTCGCTGCAGCAGCCGCGTCAACCCTAAATTTTATCGTTGGGGGTCACCACAACTTGGCAAATGTTACCTAGGGGTCCCGGCCCTAGAAAGGTTGAGAACCACTGGCCTACAGTCTCCTTTTCCAATAAGAGCTCCCCTCCTGGACGCAGAGGCGCTCTTATTGAATATTGAGCAGGTTAGTGAGGGTTGGCTCCAGGGGATAAGCCTTAGACAGCTGATGGGTGCTGTTTAGCTCCAGGGGGTGAGTTTTAGGCCCCAGGAATTTAGGCCTATAGTAATATTGTGATCAGAGGGGTGCATTGAAGAGGCAAACTTCAACTGCCTACAGTCCCCTTTTCCAATAAGAGCTTCTATCCTGGACATAGAGACACTCTTATTGAACTTTGAGCTACAGAGTGAGGTGTGGCTCCATGGGATAAGCCTTAGGCAGCTGATGGGTGCTGTGTAGCTCCAGCGGGTATGTTTTAGGCGTCAGCAACTTAGGCCTATAGTAGCAAAGTGAATCTAGGATCGGAGGGGAGCACAGAAGAGGAATAGTAGGCACCAAGTTTACATTAATGGTTGCTGGCTTTACGTCAGTGAACTTTGTGATAAGGGTACTAATCTAAAATCCTAAGAAAATAGACTCCTGAAATGAATACTTCAGACAGACAAAGTGAGACATGTTCCAAGGAACACAATGTGATTTCCAAGTGTTTACAGAGGTTCACGGATGCATTCCAGGGTTGGTTGAAGTTGTTTTTGCCAACATGAAATATTTATTCAGCACACTCTCAAATGTCACCGTGGCTTACTGAATTACTAATGTCTCTACTCTTTGCCTGACACAGAAAAGAAAGACACCGTCCTGCGCCAGGTCCGCTTGGACCCCTGTGACCTGCAGCCTATCTTCGACGACATGCTGCCAATTCTGAGTCCAGAAGAGCTGCAGGTCATTGATAAGATACCGCAGGTGGAGGACAAACTGGACCGCCTCTTCGAGATCGCCGGTGTCAAGAGCCAGGAGGCCAGCCAAAAACTCCTGGACTCAGTCTACAGCCACCTCCCCGACCTGCTGTAGCCTTAAAAATGAGAGTTGAGAGTTCAGCTTGCCTTGTACAAGTGATTTCACTGCTTCCTTCACATCATCCATGACCATCATCACCACTTAATACAACCCACCCAAGGCCAACACAACTGGCATTTTGTCTGGATGCTTAAAATGAAACTGCAAATATCTTCATTTGCAGGTTTGTACATATCATGTTTCTTTCAGTTTACGGGAATACGGCTCTCTTCATTGGCAGAGCACATTTTTTTTTTCCATACGTTTTCATGAGTTGGACATCACTTGGGGCATCTTGTCCAGTATGACATAAGAATTTTGTTGCATTCAGAAGGCATTCCAAGCTCACTCAGCACCGTATGATAATCGTGATCCATTCTGCAGCCAGATCGACTGGGATCCCGTACTCTACGTAGCACGGCCTTCTGTCCAGCGCCAACAGCAGCTTAACAGTGTTTATTGTTGAACTTTGGGCCGCTGATCTGTTTTTGGATTACAGGTAATGGCTGGAGATGACGCCTGCCCTTCCAGGCTGACACATAGACTTATAATGCATGGTACATACCTATACTGCAGCTGGTACGCCGAAGATCGTTTAGGATCCTTACATGGAGATTCTATTACCGCACTGATGACTGTTTCCAGGATTGGCTGATGACATTCTTAAATGCTGAACTCGTCTTAATTACCACACCTTCCTCCACACCTCTGGAGGATCTTTTTTCTCATGTTTAAAGCCCATCTGTACTCACACGCAAAAATGTGATAAATTGTTGCTTAGCAGTTCTTAGATGTATTGATTGCATTAGTTTTCCTTTTTTAGTCATTTTCCCCTTTTCTTCACCCTCTAATACTGCGAATAACACACTTCCTGTCTCTTTGTGGCTACACTCATTTCTCTACTGTATTCATGGAGGGAGCCCATGGTTGTCGCATAGGCAGGATTTCAAATACATCTGCCTTTGTTCATCTCCATGATGGTAGATTTATGGGACTGTTAGTTCACACAAGAAAGATAGGGATGTTTCTGCTGTCTTTTCATTTCATGGGAAGTGGCAAGGACACTTGCTTGTATTTCTAGCAGGACCCAAATTTATTTTTGTACTTGATGAAAATGTTCTTTGAAAAAAGAACACTAATGCAGCCACCACATCGAAGGACTGGTAAGCTGCAATATATTACATTTTTGTTTTTGTGTTTTAGATATGCTTTACCCGTTGACCCAAAACTAGGTGCTCTTGGTTTGAATGACACACCATCTTCTTGCATTGCTAGTGGACTTGAGACTGATCTTTTAACCCTAGAATCTCAGGGTTCTCTGATATTCATAATTATTGAGCTAGCATTTTGGGTATAGAGCCTGGCCCTGACCCCTTCCACCTCCAAAGACTTGCTATTGTCCTGTGAGGGTCTCCGTCACAGCGATGGCCAAATACTGTGGTTTTGAAGTGATGTGGGAACAGCCAGGCTCTCAAAGCTACCGGGAACAGCCAGCAGAGAATATGGCTGAAGGAGCAAAACTCCATGGTGGAACATGAACCTCAGACTCCAATATGGATCTGTCACCACTGGAGGCCAAGAGGTATAAAAACAGAGTGGCTGAAAATGGAGATATCGGTTCTGGATTAACGGACTCCTTAAAGTAACCATGTCACAAGAGAAGTACTAGGGCTGCCATTGCTTGCCTACGTCTAAAAAGATGTTTGGCATTACCGACCCAGAACAAGCATGCTGTAAATTTGTGTCAGAAATTCTTATTTCTATACTTGTTCCAGGTCCATGATTAGTTGAAGCCAATGCATTTGCAGGACAGCTAGGCAACTAGCATCTTCAAAAGGAATGGTCAGCAGTGGTACGATTCTCTTATGACCGATAGCTATGATTCTCTTATGACCGGCACAGTCCTCTCTTCAAAGCTCCCTAACCTTACCTAACCTAGAACCCAAGTGCTTAATTGCCTGTCCATGAGAGCGTGTTTACATCCTCAGGCCTGAAATCTTCTCTGGTGCTGGCTGTTCCTGTAAGTAATTCCCCATATACTTAAATGGCTTCATACTACTGCAGCAGAGACAGTAGTAATACAGCCCCATATTTAGGTCTGTAGGGAATTACTGTATAGGTGCATTCAGTGGCTGAGAACATTTTGGGCCCAATGATATAAACACTGGCTGCTACCATAGAGGTAAGTACCTGCATGAGCGGTTCTAAGTAAGATTAGGGGGCTATGGAGGATGGACTTGTGTGTTTTTTTGTTTTTTTTCTCACTCGAAATTGTCCTTTATGTTGCATTCATTCTCATTTCTTAGATACAAGCATATGAATTATGTTTGAGAGGGCTTAGCCCCTTAAAGTAGAACAAAGTAAAAACATTTAGTCATATGGACTTATTTCTCAGGATGAGAGCACCTGCCATTTTTTTTTTTTTAGAGTGAAATTAAAAAAAGAATCTGCCTTTAGTACACAGGCAGCTTTTTTGTGAGGGAAGTCGGTATTCATGTTCATGGGCCTACCTGCTCGCTCAGTAAGACAATGTGCAAACTGCAGTGAACACAGAAACTAATAAGACATTTTGTTCATACAATGGAAGAAAAGGTCATTGCTTGTCCCAGCCCCTACAATATATCACCACACCAAAAAAAAAAATGGCAGCACACCAATGATTTCAGCATTCAATCAAATATTTTTGTTCCTCAGAACTTGCATCTACCCTGTTTCCCCAAAAATAAGACCTTCCCCGAAAAATAAGACCTAGTTGTGACCATTCCCAGGGCCGTTGGTGGCATAAGGGGGAACTTGAAGAGCCGCAGGAGAGAATCAGCGGTGCCAACGAAGCCAGCACTAGAGGAAGCGAGGCGGCACCGGAGGGAGCAGAGCCGCATAAGCAGATGCCTCCTCTATAGTGCCGGCTCCTGTCACAGGCGGAGTGATACCAAATGCACTCCGCCTGTGAGGAATCCATAGTGAAAGTGCGCTTTGCTCATTCTGGCTAGCGATTGGTTAGCAAATTGCTCTTGGAAAGGTACGACACCCCTGATTGCCCTGATCACCATATTTTTGTACATGAATACATGTAGACTTTTGTACATGAAACAGTGAGGATTGTTGTACAAAAAGAAAGACCTACCCCGAAAATAAACATAGTGTGTTTTTTTGAGCCAAAAAAAAATATGACTGTCTTATTTTCAGGGAAACACGGTGGAAGCATCACCTTGGACCCCCAATCCAGATTTGGGAGGTCCCTGGTGAAGTCTCTGTCCATGTTCTCTGGAGCAATAAAGTTTTATTGAATGCTGAGATGATCAGTACGTGGCCAGTTTTTTCCTGTAAATCGCCTTTCATGGTTATCATTTCAGTGAACTGAACTCTAGATGGTTATATTGCTTTCACTTGTTTTGTAGCAGTCTTCTTCCTCCGACATATTGCATTGCCCATGGAACTTAATCTAGCATCTCACTCTTTTTGTCCTGGTGCAGTATGGGAAGTGAAAGGGAAAGTTCCATCAATTTCTTTGGGCAGTAAATGTTTCCTATGACCCATTAGTGAATAAGGCCATGTATGTGCCACCTTGTTGAATAAGCCCAGTAACGCTTTAGTGTCACCAGGGTTATAGTAAATATATATTCTGAAAATTCTACACCCACAGATTGGTAGTTCCCATTTTGTGTGGACAGCCGGTGCAGATAAAGGGAAAACACCGCCCAAAACTCTGATTTAATTTAAGCGATGGTTATTTAGAGCTCCTGATGTGTCCTTTTGTCATGGAGCCTGCTGTCCAAGTCCCCTCGTCTGAAATTCCTCTGCCAACCTCTCATGCTGTGTACTGTTCATTCATTATCATTATTGTGGAATTATCTGATGAACTGACATCAGAATAAGCAGCAAAGTCTGTGTGGGACTTTCTGGACAGTTGTTCTTCATGTAATGGATCTACTGATATGTATTGCCTATACCAAATGTCCTGTCCATCATCCACCTACAACTAGATTCATCCATGTGTACATGTTTCTTATTGCCATAGACTAGTTATAAATCATTGATTCATATTTCATGTCCCCAAATAGAGATCAGCAGTTCTTTTTCTAAGCTGCCCTAGAAAAAAATATGGAATCTTTAAAGGAGAACTATGGGGCTAGGGCTCTTCCCCATAGTTCTCCTAAGGGTAACGGGAGGATACACACTAGCGTCCTCCCATCACCCAAAGCACAGTATACCGTGAGGCACAGCTCGCAGTATACTGAGATGCCGGAACGGATCCCGACAATTATGTCTGGATCCGCCCAGCTGCGTGAGTGACAGCTGGCTCTGCCTATCTAGAGACAGAGCCAGCTGTACCCGCCCCTTCCCCCGCCAGTCAGCGCTGGATGATCGGAGCGGGGAGGGGGGAATCCAGTCCCTCCCCTGTCACGGCTCTCTGCAGGGATAGATCGAGAAGTGAGCGAGCGCCGGTATGTGTTCGCTCACTTCCCGATCTACTGGGCCGACCTGTGACTGTTTCATTGTCACAGGTCGGCTCAGATTATGAGGTGAGTGAAAATCACTCACCTCATAATTCTCCTTTAACTGAGTCATTTGGGTCTTACAGGTTTTGCCTACATTATTCAAAATTTGCTCTTGAAAATGTGTCATCTTATCAGACACACATATGACCTAAAAATAATAATCTGAGAATAACTTTATCTGTTACATACATTATTTATCCCATGTATCCAATTGATTTTGGTCAGGAAGCTTGGACGTCCAAAGGAACTGACTTGGTAAAAATCCAGCCAAAAGCAACCAAGCAGCTCTGTAGGAGACCCAGACAACCATGTGATCAGAAACCAGTCATCAATTGGCTATGTGACTCTGCTGTTGTGCAGTTGTTTCCCAGGCAAATGTGTCTAGAAGGTCATTTTGATTGTCTGTCTCTCTACTTGATTTAACGGGACATAGTTTTGGGGATTTGGCCTTGTTCTGGCAGATCATGGTGGGGCTTGAAGGAGAACTAGAGGGAATTTAAAATATAAAAGGATAGAGAAATCTTCAGAGTAAATATGAACTTTGTCTTCTTGGTCTAGAGATTGAGTCTTCTGAAGGTCTGGTTTAGGACACTTTTTATTTTGGGTCCTTTGAAACTACTGTTATCTTAGTAAAGGTTCTCATTTATCCAGGTCATGGTAGAGCTAGTAGTAGTCACATTCTATTGAACATGCCCTGTAATGTTGAGGATGTTTCGTAGCTTCCTTGAAGGAGAACTATGAGGTGAGTAATTGCCACTCATCCTCATAGTTGGAGCTGACCTGTGACAAAGAAGCTGTGACAGGTCGGCTCTATCGATCAGGAATTGAGCAGAAACATGCACCGATCCGCTCACTTCCTGTTTATCTCCCTGCAGTAAACGGTGACAGTCAGTCACCGCTCCCCACTGGGATTGCCCCCTCTCCAATCCTCCAGCGCTGACTGGAGGAAAGGACGGGGAAGGGGACAGGCACAGCGGGCTCGGCCTCTAGATAGGCAGAGCCCGCTGTCACTCACGCAGCTGGGTGGAATTCAACAGTATTGTCGGGATCCGTCCCGGCTGCGGCACTCTCAGTACATAGCGGGCAATAGCCCGCTATATACTGAGCTTTGGGTCACCGGAGGAGGTTAGTATATGTCCTACCTTGATCCTAAAGAGAACTATGGGGAAAAACATTTACGCCATAGTTCTCTTTTAAGTCGCTGCAGAAGCTA